GATCTCCCGGAATACAAATCCGTAGTCCCAAAGTAAACATACAGGGGGATCTCCTAGAATACAAATCCGTAGTCCCAAAGTAATCATACAGGGGGATCTCTCGAAATACAAATTCGTAGTCCCAACGTGAATACACAGCAGCAACACGAAAGATACTCAATTCAATCAAATTTCACACCAAGGCAAAACATGTATTTCTAACCTAGCATGCCGCACATAATCCAGATAAGGCAGTTGAGCAAATAAGCAATTAAGTCAATTAGACATTCTTCCCTAAGCTAACAGCAGGATTAAATTGCAAGTAGTATACACAGGAAAAGAACACTATTTTAGTTACTTAATGAAGACCGAATTTTCAACAATTAGCACAAGTACGCACTCGTCACCTCACATACAAGGCATTTCAATTATCAACAATACCAAATCCTAAGGGGAGTTTTCCCCACACAAGGTTAGGCAAGCCACTTGCCTCGATGCCACAAACATATTTCAAGCCTCAACTACTGCTTTACCTCTTGATTCCACCACCAATTCGCTTGTATCTAGCCACAAGTTACTTAACTATATCAATAAATGCTAAATGAATCAATTCTAATGCATGAAAATAGGTTTTTCTGAAGTGTTTCCCAAAAAGTCAAAAATCGACCCCGGGCCCACATGGTCAAAACCCGAGGTTCGAACCAAAACCCGATTACTCATTCACCCACGAACTTAAATACATAAATTATTTTGAAATCGGACCTCAAATTGAGGTCTAAATCCCTAAATTTCAACATTCTTAGGTTTTACCCAAAATCCCCACGTGACGACCCAAAGGGTCATCACCTGTTTTTAATTGAAATCTATGACTCCGAGCCCTTGAAAACCTCATTTAGAGTCGCATCAATTTGCGTGCGCAGTCCGGGCGCGTAGCCGGAAAGCTTAAATATGAAATTCTGTGAAAAATGCTAAGTTTTGATGTTAAAATGAATAAATTTGACCTTGGTCAACGTTTTGGGTAAACGAACCCGGACCCATGATTTGACGGTCCCAGAGGGTCTGTAGGAAAATATGGGACTTGGGCGTATGCCCGGAATCGAATTCCGAGGTCCCAAGCCCGAGAAATAAATTTTTTGTAAAATTGTTTTCTGAAATTTGAAATGAAAATTGATTAGAACGTGTTGGTATCGGGCCCGTATTTTAGTTCTGGCGCCCGGTACAGGTCTTATATATGGTTTAAATCATTCCTGTGAAATTTGGTGAAAAACGGACGTCGTTTGACGTGATTTGGACCGAAATTGGAAAATTTGATGTTTTATGAAGTTTGACAGAATTCATGGATTTTGAGGCTTGATTCGATGTTTATGATGTTATTTTGGCGGTTTGATCGCACGAATAAGTCCGTAGGATGTTCTTGAGGTTGTGTGTATATTTGGTTTGGAGCCCCGAGGACTCGGGTGAGTTTTGGGTAGGCCACAAGTGCATTTTGGGACTTTGAAAAATAGCTGGTGCGAAGCCAGTCTCGCAAATGCGAGCTCGCAAATGTGAGCCATGCATAGCAAATGCGATGCCCGCCTAAATCCTCTGCGATCGCAAATCCGATCTCTTCTTCGCAAATGCGACTATTGTTTCGCAAATGCGAAAGAGTGGGATTTCTGAAGGGTTCGCAAATGCGAACCCTGTTTCGCAATTCCCACATCTGCAGAGGTCGGGGTTCGCAATTCCGAACCCCTGTTCGCATTTCCCATATCAGAGACCTGCAATTTTACACTTAAACGATTTTGAACCCCATTTTTCATATTTTCTCAAACCCAAACATACTTAGGCGATTTTCCAAGAACAAGTCTTCTTCCAAACCAATTGTAAGTTAGTTTTTACTCATTTCTTTCAACCATTAATATCTTTTAACATGATTTCAACCTAAAATCAAAGATTTTCATGGGGGAAATTGGGTGTTTTGGGTAGAACCTAGGTTTTTCAAAAATTGGGGATTTGGACCTCAATTTGAGGTCCGATTTCAAAACAAATTATATATTTGAGTTTGTGGGGGAATAGGTAATTGGGTTTTGGTTCGAACCTCGGGTTTTGACCACGCGGGCCCGGGGGTGATTTTTGACTTTTTGGGTAAAACTTTGGAAAACTCATTTTCATGCATTGGGGTTGATTCATTTAGCACTTATTGATGTAATTAAGCAATTTGTGATTAGATACGAGCGAATTGGCGGTGGAATCAAGGGGTAAAGCTATAATTGAGACTTGAGTTGTATTCAAGGCATCGAGGTAAGTGTTTGGTCTAACCTTAGCTTGAGGGATTAGGAGTTGAGTCCTATTTGGTATGTGGTATTAGTCGTGTACGACGTATAGGCATGGTGACGAGTATCTATACGTTGGTGTCTATCATGACCGTGAGTCTTTACATCGTGAATATTTGATTTCATTGTATCCTTCATGCTTTGGTGATGATTTCTAGTTGTTGTGAAAAGTTTGTGGAAGGAATTGAGACCTTTGAACATCTTGGAGCATTGGCTCGAGTTATATTATGAATTGTGAAAGTATATGAGAGGATTGAACTCTTGGAGCATTGGCTCAAGTGGTAAAGTGAGTTATGAAGTACAAGTGAAAGATAGAGAAAGAGTTATTGAAATGTTCCCTTGCCGGGATTTAATTATGTAATTGTTGTTCCCTTGCCGGGATTTAATTATGTAACTGTTGTTCCCTTGCCGGGATTTAATTATTTACTTGTTGCTGCCGGAAATTAATTGTTAAATCGTTGTTCCCTTGCCGGGATTCCTATATGTTCTTGTTTATTTCCCTTGCCCTTGATTGTGATTGTTGTTCGGGTGAGGAAGAGTGTTAAAGCACGAAGGGTGATGCCGTACATTATTTGCTATTGTGAGGAAAGAATGTAAAGCACGAAGGGTGATGCCGTGCCGCACGATGTACCATTCCATGCCAATTCTATTGATTATATGTGAGGAAAGAGAGTAAAAGCACGAAGGGTGATGCCGTGCACATTTTATTATTCTAATTGCTTTGGTGAGGAAAGAGAGTAAAAGCACGAAGGGTGATGCCGTGCATGTTTTCATTATATTATTGCTTGGTAAGGACGAGAGTAAAAGCACGAAGGGTGATGCCGTGCATTTATTTGATTTCTGCTTCTTGTTGACATTGTAGTTATGTTGTTCCTTTCCTTACTTGATGCTTTATTTGGAACTGTTATCTCCCCGCAACATGTTT